ACCACAAACTCGCTAATTGGTAACAGAAGCCATTGGTTTATACCAACGGCTTTCCTTACTTCATTCTACAATTCACTCTCGTGTAGTCATGTGTGACGTCATGAGATGCGGTGTAAGATTTTCGCTTCAAAGCGTCTTATATCGCATGTTTATCGTTGCTTAGTGATCAACTATGTAAACAATGACAGACTATCATCACTGTCGTGTCCGTATATTGTTTAATATGTTTGTAATTTGCATCTTTGATAATGGCTTAAGTGATGAAAGCTTAGATTATATTAAAAAATATGGATCAATATTGTGAATTTCTTTCTTCGTTTTAATGATAATGTTATCAAACTTATCAGATGTTACGAACAAATTTTACATAAAATAAATAGACAACGCTTGTCTATATTATTTAATGAAACGTGTATAAATGAAAATATGCTGCCTAAATACACACAATATATATATATATATATATATATATATATAGGCAGCATATCTTCATTCAAATGTATTACCTTGAATAATATAGACATATTGTGTCTACTTATTTTTATACTGATTCTTTCCAGTTATGTAATCAGCTTCTTGATGTTGAGGTTAAATTTATCAAGGAAGGCGCCATAGTTTTTTTTTTTTTTAATCCAAGTACTTTTGACCCTTTCTAAGATTATCTTCAGGGATAAATTATGGTATTTTCCTTGATGAATTTCATCTTAACATCAAGAAACTGATTAGAAAACTGGAAAGGGGCAGTATAAAAGTAAATAAACACAATATGTCTATATTATTTAATATATATATGTTCAGTTGTATATGAGTTTGTAACTCTGTGTTTCATGTTTGATTATTTGTGTGTGGCAAAGAGGGGGGAATTTTCTTCTATGTTTGTTTGGGATGACACTTTCACATACATAGACACACATACATACAGGTGTATGCATTTTAGTTTGTATAGATTATTTATATGGGTGTTTTTGTACAAACTAAAATGTATACACTTGTATGTATGTGTGTCTATGTGCCATCCCAAGGAAACACAGAAAATAATTACCCCACCTCCAACACACATGAATAATCAAACACAAATAAGCACCAATAGATCCATCTTTAAAAAATAAACCAGTTTGTCTGATTGCATAAGTGTGAAACCCAGGCTTATAAACTAATACCCATACAGCTGAATATGTTAGCTCCATCACAGATATTGAGCACTTTCTACTAAGTACCATACATACATACACACACACACACACATATATATATATATATATATATATATATATATATAGTCATCTACAGGCAGACTGTTTCGGTATATCACAGCTCATCACTGTGGCTAGACGTCCAGTTACTTCTAGCTAGGATCAAAACCTGGCAGAATTGGTGTCACAGCAGAGATGAAGGTGAATTTAAGCATATTTATTTTTAAACACACAGTGACTGAGAGGACTTGATTCGCTTTACCGAAGAGTATTACTATATTAGCCATAATAGTCACAGTTTACAAACTCACACTTCCTCTCCAGAGAGCTCAACTAAAATAAAACTTTTCAGAAACATATATATATATATATATATATATATTTGTGTATTTAGGCAGCAATCCTTCTTTCATGCACATTTTATTGAAAATGACAGACAAGGTGCTTTTATTTAGTTTTTTTTATACAATTTCTCATGCGATTTAATAATTTTTTTCTTTTTGGATGATAAATTATATAAAAACTGTCCAAATTTTCTTTTTATTTGAGCACTTTCGGCTATACATTTATATATATATATATATATATATATATACACACACCCAAAGACATGGACCCTTAAAAGTTTGTTAAATTTAGCTACAAAAAAAATTGACCTCACTTAACATCTGGACAGTTAGTTGTAAGTCTTCTCACTTGGTATACTGGTACAAAACCATTTGTCTTTGTAAATGACTAATTTAAATTTAGTGCATATAGATACAACAGTGTATCCACAGTCTCATAATGCAGAAAGCATTTATTTTATGTAGAATCTTTTGACATGATCTTCTTCTTTGTTAATGTACTTAATTCAGTGGTGAATATTAATCATATAGCAAAAATTTCAATTCAAAATTCCTGTACTTCAGCTGCAGGTTAAGCTCCAGATATATTTTAGTCATTCTCATGTGTACAGACTTGCATCCCAATGTGTATGTATATCTCTATAAAGAGAGAGTTCAATACACACACAAATGCACAGATATGTATATAAATAAACAGATCATAATTTGCAGTTTTAAATGTAAAGGCCAGCATTTAAAAAAAAAAAAAACAAAAAAAACAATCCCTGATTGCCAAAACTATTTCAGTAAAAAAAAAAAAAAACAGATTGTGTGATGATTGCAATAGTGTGAAACCCAGGGTCACAAACTAATATCCATGCAAATGAATATATATATATATATATATATATATATATATATATGGGGGAAAATATTATAGTAGTTCCAACAAGAGAAAAGTGTGTATATTACAAAGAAGAGAGTAACCACAAACATTTTTGGTTGTAATGTGATTTTTTTTTTTTAAATATCATGCTTTATTTTCCATAATTTTGCTACATGTGTTTCTGGTCTCATGACTTTCATCAGCCAAAGTATGGAGATTTCCACATATTATTAAAAATAATTAATTTTTTTCTTATGTTTTTCAATGTTAAATATTCTCAATATGAGAAATTCTGTTTTTTGTTTGTTAGGGGCCCAAATGTCTTCCTGAATTGGCAGTGAAAAATTTTGTGTGAAGGGTTATAAAACAATTAAGATTGGTCTGAGAAATGTTGAAGGAGTTATCGGCATTCTTTTCTTTTACTGACCCCTGTGTATGTTCTTAGATCTATTTCCATTTTCTTGTATTTTTGTCAGCATGCATGCATATATATATATATATATATATATATATATATATATATATATGAAGAAAAATATGCTGAAAAAACAAACAAAAATCCTAATATGCAATTATGCTGTTTTGATGCTTAATGTCAACGTCAGGCGTTTCGGTCTAATAGACCATCTTCAGGACATATTTATAAAACATAATTAACATAGACCATATATAATTCAACATGAAAAAGACGATGGACATAAAAGCAATACCAATTCAAACGTTGACATTAAACATTAAAACAGCATAATTGCATATTAGGATTTTTGTTTGTTTTTTCAGTATATTTTTCTTCATACTGTCGGATCTATATTCATATATTTGCTTACACACACACACACATATATATAGTAAACATTCTTGAATACCTCTTATGTTATATAAAAAGTGATGACCCAGATATTCTTTTTATAATTCTTATTCAGTTAACATGTCTGAGAATGGCCAAGTGATTTTTGAGCTGCCATTTAAAAAAAAAAAACAAAAAAAAACTACAGTTCCAAAAACAATCTTCAGTATCAAACATGGATGAAGACTGCCAGAGCAGCTGAAAATTTTATGGTTTCCAACTATTTTCCTTGCACTCCCACATGTTGACTAAATAAAAATCAAATAATATACAAAGAATATCACTTATGCAGACACATCGTATTTATATGTGTGTCTATTCGTTTATATCCATTTATACTGGTAAAAATATTAGTCACAAGTTACTTCACTTTTACTCATAAATCCATTTATTGTTTGACTTATGTCGTCACTTGTAATAATTACAGATATTTTTATGTGCTTTCTAGACAGAAAATATAAAAAACGAATAAAAATTGACTTTAATCCATCGTCTATTCTGGCTCTGGTTCTACTTCTTTAAATAACCTTGAAGGCCAGGCTCTTAACAAAGTTGCTATTAAATGTGCTCAGCAACAGTTATTAATAATTATGATCTTTTTTTGTTTGCATTTGAAAATTTGGATTTGAAGCTAATGAGAAGAATTGCAACAATAGAGAATATGTTTTTCATAAATAATGCTGTCCTTTACAAAATTCAGCTTCTCAGAAAGATTGTTTACTGTATCATTTTTGGCAGTTCTTCTCACCAGAATCTATCCTATCCATTTATGTAGTATCTGTCTATATTTCTGTGATGAGGTATTATGTACACTATTTACATTATTCGGACTATTGTCCTCATCTTTGTCGCCATATTTATTACAATGTTTCGGCCTTTCAGTATCTGTCTATATTTCTGAGATGAGGTGTTATGTACACTATTTACATTATTCGGACTATTGTCCTCATCTTTGTCGCCATATTTATTACAATGTTTCGGCCTTTCAGTATCTGTCTATATTTCTGAGATGAGGTGTTATGTACACTATTTACATTATTCGGACTATTGTCCTCATTTTTGTTGCCATATTTATCGCAATGATTTGGCTGTTGTACGCTCCGGTTTTCTTCAGTATTAAACAATCTCCCATTTCTATAAATCATTAATTCTATTAAGTTCCTTACTATAAATTAATGTGTTAACACTAAAATTTAGTTTCTTAAATACTCGTGTTTAAAAAAAGGTAATAAAGAAAGAGATTTGGAAAAATTAACACGCATTGTACGTATTGAAGGCAGGAAGGGAACAATGGTGATTTTCTAAGATTAGCTTAAATGTGACACAAGGCCAAAAGTATGGGGACACCTAATGAGGATTGGACATATTACTCAGCCATAAATGATTTAGTGAGACAAACTTGCTAACCATTACACCACGTCAGAGTGGAGGGGAACAATGAGTTTTTTTTTGTGAATGAATGGCAAAGAGGGACAAAGACTCAAATGATGCTTACAGCTTCAAGGGACAGAAATTGGAGAGTACCATGTCATGAAGTAAGAGAGCATGTAAAATAAGTGTGTGAAATCCTGATGGTAAGGTTTTTCAGTAACACAATGCCCTTATTGTGTTTTTTCTATTTACTGAGGCTAGGTCATCTGAAGGTGTTGAATTCTATATTAGATTTTCTTATGCAGATCTCTATCTAAAATCGAAGGATATTTTCCATAATAATTCCTGTAATAATAAAAGACCTCAAAGTATTTCAGACAATTATTTTTCTTTTCTTTATGTGATTTTTTTTTCTTTCTTTCATTTTTCAATTTCTTTCTTCTTTTTTCTCATGTTTTCTTTTTCTTGTGTTTTTCCTCTTTCTCCTTCTCTTGTATTCCTTTTCTTTCTACTTTCTCCTCACTGTTTTTATTTCTTTTGTTTTCTTTCTTTTTCTTCATGTCTCTTTCACTCTCTCTCACAAGGTTTTTGGAAATAGTTAACTTTTCTCCTTTTCTTTATCATTTCTTATTTTTCTTTTTCTTTCTTATTCTGACTGTTTGTTTTTCTCTCTCTTTTCTCTTTATATATTTCTTGAAGTTCATTTCAATCAGATATTTCCCTTCATTATCTTTCTCCCTCTTTCTTTCAATCCTCCTTTCCACACTTTTTCTTCTTTTTCTACTTTCTGTCTACTTTGTTTGGCCTTCCCGCCAACATTGCAAGCCTTCTTGCTACTAGTAGAAACCAATTGCCTATCTGCTAGCCATAAAGGACCTTCCTGCTTGTAATGTAGAATAGAAACCAACTTACTTCTTAATAGTGCTGTAGACCATTCGCCTTCTAGCAAGCCATAAATGCCAACTGCCTTCCTATTAGCACTGAAAGTCAGTTGTCTTTTTGCTAACCATAAAAGCCAGTTGTCTTTTTGCTAACCATAAAAGCCAGTTGTCTTTTTGCTCACCATAAAAGCCAGTTGTCTTTTTGCTAACCATAAAAGCCAGTTGTCTTTTTGCTAACCATAAAAGCCAGTTGTCTTTTTGCTAACCATAAAAGCCAGTTGTCTTTTTGCTAACCATAAAAGCCAGTTGTCTTTTTGCTAACCATAAAAGCCAGTTGTCTTTTTGCTCACCATAAAAGCCAATTGCCTTCCTGTTAGCACTGAAAGCCAATTGTCTCTTTGCTAATGATAAAAGCCAAATGTCTTCCTGTTAGCACTGAAAGCCAGTTGCCTTTTGGTTAGCCATAAAAGCCAATTGCCTACCTGCTAGCATTGTAGACCAATTGCCTTCCTGTTGGTACTATAGACCATTTGCCTTCCCACTAGTATTGTAGACCAACTGCCTTCCCGCCAGCACTGTAGATCACTTTCCTTCCTGTTAGTACTGCTAGCAATAAAATCCAATTGCCTTCCTGCTGAAGCCACATCTACCTGAAAATCAAAAAGCATTAATCTTTCCCTCCCCATTCCTCGTTCCTCGTCTCTTCATTAAACAACCAGAGATGTTGTTTTCTTTTTTCATCTCTTAGCTATCCATTATTACACAAATTCAAAATTATCTATGTTCCTCATATGATTTTATACAATTTTTTTCCCCTGACCTGAGTAAAAATATCCAATATATTAGTTTATAGCATGAAATCAAGAATTGGAAACTCAGCTTAAGAAGGAGAGTAAGAAACAGTTGAAAAAAATGATTAATCTATGTGCAGACAGAATCAATGTTCATCTAACTTGGAACAATTATTTCAACTCTCAGAGGGTTGTTGGTGCAATACATTGTTTTGGGTGTTTCCAAAAAAATTGAAATTATAAGATGGTGGCGCCCACCTCTACATCCAGTCATTATATTTCATATATAAACGAGAATATCTACTTTGTCTAAGACTTGTCAGTACTTTTTTCCTCTATCTTTTATTTAACTTAATGATATGCAAATGGCATGACAATTATTAGCACAGAAACTGAAATTAGTGAACCATGTTCAAATATTGGCCTAGTCTGTTATATTTACTTTGCATTTGTGCCATTAGGAAAGGCATGAACTCAGTTGTTCTCTCCCCAGCTAGACTGGGCTCTCTAATCTTGGCTAGCAGCTGGTCTAGAAGAAGGGTTACTCTGAATTCAAAACTGGAGAAGGAAATGGTGAAAATAATCCTATGTTGTTCCAGAAATTATGACAATTCTCATGATCGACTTCATCTTGAAAGAACATGGGATTATTTTAATTTTTAGTAGTTTTCATTATTTTGATAGAGGGTTGTTACCAAAATACATGGGATAAAGTGATTGTTTACATATGACAACACTTATCTCTTCTCTCGCTTCTTCTTATAGTAAAGTTTTTTTTAAAATAGTTTGGTCGTTCAGGGCATTTTGGCTGCTTCACTGTTAGGATTATGGTTTCCATAAATTTTATGATATTGCCAAGTGGAATTGAGCTTTTTTGCAAAATTTTATAGGGAATCACTTGTTCAGTTCAACAGCTGTTGGATTTTTTTTTTATGAAAACTTCAACCTTTTCAAATTGAGTCTCTTCTCTAAATCCATCTTGTCTTGTATAAATGAGGCCCAGTTGACATTTTTTCATTCTTCCATTTCTTAAGATTTCCTCATAAATTACTGTTTTGCATTTTATTTGTAAATTTTTTTGTCTTATATCCTTCAACAGAATAAATTGCAATAAAGAATTTGACAAGTGATTTAAATATTGACGTTCTTTGGCTTTAATTTACTGCTTGACGATAGTTCAGTGATTTCCAAATGTTTCCATTTTGAAAATGGAATTTCCTCAAACTTCATATCCCTTTCTTTTTTTTTTTTTTATTAATATCTTCATCTTTGCAAAAGTTGTTCTGTTCGTGAAAATCAAAAAATAAAATCTATCAACTAAAACGTGTCAAAAGTAAAAAAAAAAAAAAGAATCTCTGGAATAAAAAGGACTGATGTGAGAACTTTGGACAACATTGATGAAGGTCAGTATGTGAATATTACACACACATATATGGAATATAAATCAGTGTGTGAATATTATATATATATATATATATATATATATGGAATCTAACGTAGACCTGTTTAACAAGTGTGATATTGGAGGAATCGAGACTTTTATCATACAGTCTCAGTTATGGTGGACTGGTCATGTCCTGAAAATGTCTGATGACAGGATACCCAAGATCCTAATGTACAGCGAGTTAGATCAGGGCTACAGGAATGTAGGACGCCCATGGCTAAGATACAAAGACAAGCTGAAAAGCAGCTTGTCAGCAGTCAATATACCACGCCTTACTGATCGGTTGAACTCTCTGCCTTCGGGCGTGGAGGAACCCGAAGGAGGCTACGCCGAAGGGTGTATTCTCTTTCGAGGGGGTAAATATATAGGTTTATATGGGCATATTTTTGGCTGAGCCCACAGGCTCGGAGATCTCACGTTAAATGGCCTTGTGCCACATGATGCCCTTGTGGTGGGGATGACTAAATATCGTCAATATACCACATAATACCCTTGAGCGCTTAGCCTTGGAGCGGGTAGAATGGAGATCAACATGTTTTAGTGGACTCAGCAATTTTCAATTTGCTTGTCTGAATCATCTTCAAGAAGCAAGAGCAATATCTAAAAGGTTAACCAATCTAACAGTGATCTCATCTCACAATCCTCACACTTGCTCCATATGTGGCCTCCTTTGTAAATCACTAGCGGGTCTTAAATACCACTTAAGATTATCGCACAAAATTTCATAACTGAATCAACTAAGCTGTTAGATCCTTATACGTCGAAACCGACGGGAGAGTTCATTATTATTATTATTATTATTATATATGAAATATATATGTCTATATATATATATATATATGGAATATAAATCAGTGTGTGAATATTTATATATATATATATGGAATATAAATCAGTATGTGAATATTTATATATATATATATATATGGAATATAAATCAGTATGTGAATATTTATATATATATATGGAATATAAATCAGTGTGTGAATATTTATATATATATATGGAATATAAATCAGTGTGTGAATATTTATATATATATATGGAATATAAATCAGTGTGTGAATATTTATATATATATGGAATATAAATCAGTGTGTGAATATTTATATATATATGGAATATAGATCTGTGTGAGAATAATATATATATATATATATATATATATGGAATATAAAAGGATTCACGTTGAAGCAGCAGGAAATAATTTCTTATGATTTTCCTATAAATCATAACTGTACAACACTGTAGTACGCAGGGGGGGTGCGGAGAGTGAAGGTGCGAGAAAGACTGGATATATGGAGGACCAAGGAAATAACAAAAGCTGAACAGGGTTCAAGATGATGTCAGTTGACGTGGCATTTAAATTTTTGAGGATTTTAGTTCTCAGGGAAGCAAGGAAATGGAAAGGAGTTCCGCAGGCGTGAAGTGCGAGAAAAGAAACTGTTGGAGTAGAAGTGGCAGTTACATATACCTAATTCAACAGTAAAAGAGTGGGACCGAGATGCCAGTCTTGTAGCACACTTAAACTCACATTGTCCAGGCACCAGGGGAAAAAAAAAGCTCTTATTTATCTACCCACTAATGCTGATAGGCTTTACAATCTGTCAAAACTAGAAAAAGGTCATTTCATTTTGTCTCTCTCCCCCCCCTTCCCCAATTGCCTAGTTGTCTTTCAATTTTTTAGCCCTAGCCTGGGCTGCAGAACAACAGATCCAAGTCTTGATAAATTCTAGTTCATCTCCAACATTTTATTGTTTTGTTCTATGACACATGATCAGTAGCTAACTTCCACCCGTCACTTACTTTACTATACACTTTATGCCTCTTCTACATAACATATACAAATAGGTACTATCCTATTCACCAATCCACTACACTATTATCCTTGTTTTTATTGTTATTATCACAACATTTCAGCTATTATAACTGCTAGACTTCTTCAGGTCCTTGTCAATCTGAGTAAGCATCATGGAATTTCAGACTGAATCCTTTATTTTATCGAGGTATTGAACTCATAATTACTATGTCATAAATTTTATAAAACACTGCTTTAAATCACTAGGCTTTTATTTCATGGGACCATCCTGAGTCAAACTTGGAGCCTAAGCTGCTTGCTGCTTGACTGCATTCACCATGGCTTCTCTTTTCTTACTGCTTTTTTTCTCCTTATTATCATAGCCTTGCACCAGACAAAGCTAAATATCTCCACATTAAATTTTTAAAACCTAAATCTATTTAGCAAGTGTTCCGTGATCATGTCATTCATCCCATATTGAAGCAACTAAAGCTAAGAGGAAATTATAAAAATGTCAGTATGGTTGACTTTCTTCTTTACTTTCTTTTTTTGGTGGAGAGGAGAGATGTCCAATGAAAATCAATAAATAGGAAAAAGATCAATCAGCTTTTCAATTATTGATTATTGAGCATCAATATGTCTCTTTCCGCTTTGCTATCTTTGTAGCAGTTGTGCATATTTCCTGGGATTCTCTAAGTCTGAGGAATACGGTCACCATTTCCTTCTCCATGTTATCTCCCCCCCCCACGCCCAACTGTAGACTATATTTCAGATTCAATGCAGTTTCCACATCTATCTTCATCTTTTCCTCACTCTGTTTATAGAAAACCTGCTATTAAGTACAGATAGGTAACTAATTGACTTCCTTACTGAAAGTACATGGGTTGTGTATATGTCTACTTATGAACACACTGATTCACCTTGTC